AGTCCCTGCTCTGATATTGTAATGCAGCGTTTTCAGTGTTTTGTGAAAAGCTGCACATCTCACTGAATATCATTATGTGCATTTCAATAGAGGAAGTGGGTGCTATTGCTTCTACCTCTTTGACATTGCCTACACATTCAATGCAGCCTGTTTCATAAGGCTGAGTGTGCACAGCAAGGTTACTCCCTGACATTAGCTGCTTTTAAATGCTCTCCTGTATAATATAGTAGTTTCATTTTAGGACACATTTTCAGGAAATTATAATGTATCAAATGTGTTTCCACAACTGTTAAGTGTTTTATACCATTCCACCTTTTAAAGACTGGTAAAGCAGTTAAAGCTTTTATTATCTCTCGACATTCATGAGAGCTACAATTCAGAATAACTGCAAATTGCGCTTAAGCAGTAAGGTAAAAGGACCTGAGATGCCCTTTTCTCCACCTGCATCATCCAGTAGACCTTACACTCATATGGCCTCTGAAGTGCAATATCCATCGTATATGAATACATATAAAGAGCAAATCAGACTTGTTTCTTCCCTAAATCTGCATTGGTTGAGTTTTTGGGCCACCCACACGAAGTGGGAAATGCCCTAAACTGAATATATTATCACCTTTTTGAAGCCGATATATGTCACGTGTTGGCAACCATTACCCAAATTACACATCAAGTCTAATTAGCATCCATTTAAATGTGTGTTTCTACTAATGATAAGAGCAATAGCCATTCTAATTGTGTCTCTGTTTTAGTATAAAACTATTCCTAAGTGAAATATCTGGAATTTAGCTGCAAAGTGTCCCACTATGATTAGTTGCTAACTGCGTCTGGTGATGTTTGGTGCTCAGCTGGTGCATTGCTTTGATCAGACGATTGATTGACCATTTAGCATTTACTAACAGATATAAAGAAATGCAGTTTGTGGTTGTGTGTGTGTGTTCCTATGAGAGATAGGTCATATTAAGAAACGTTGGTAAATAAGACCACAAGGAGCTACAAGATGCAAAAAAAGCGACAGAGAACAAATTATCATTCTTTCGATATAAGACAATTAAAACATTAATTTCAGAGTCATTGATATCATATAATATAAAAACATTTGGTAAGGTAGGCTTTTAAAAAAAAAAAAAGATTACATCACTTACAACATCCTGTAAGCACAGTCAGTAGGGGCTTGGACTGTGAGCAATAGGGTCGCCGGTTCAAGTCCCCGAACAGACCTAAATATGGAGTGTGGACTGCTACTTGGAGAGGTCCCAGTTCACCTCCTGGGCCCTGCCGTGGTGCCCTTGAGCAAGGCACCGGACAACCCCCTTCCCCCCTCACTCCCCGGGCGCTGTGCAATAGCTGCCCACTGCTCCTATTAGACTCCTCCTGGTACGAGGATGGGTTAAATACAGAGGCCAACTTTTACTGTGTGTGCTGTGTGCTCTGCATGTGTGACCATTATAGAGGGGTTTCATCCCTCCGATTCTATCTATCTATTACAAATATATTAGCTAATAGCATTAGCATGTAGCATCTGTCCTGGTTGCAGCAGTTTGATAATTTTATCTTAAATAACGTATATAGTTTCCCTGGAGACCAGCACCTTTTTTCAGGGTTACACGAAGCACAGTCTGTGGATACAATCCTATCAGAAATATAAATGTGCTGCATAGCTGAAGCAAAATGTCATTCCTCACAACACATTTTATGTTAAGTGTCACAATGGAGTATCACTGAGTATTGTCTGTGAACATATGCTCTGTGAGTGATTCATGTGAGACTCTCTCACTTCACTGACAACTCAATTGCTGTAATTGTTTAGCTGTGAGGGGAACATTTTATTGTAGCCAGATTTTGATTACATGTCTAAAAGCAAGTGCATTCATTCTGCCAGAAACGATTGAGTGAATTCAATCTGTATAAGTGCAACCATTTAAGATCCCACAGTTACAGCTCCCTTTATTGGAGACACGGCATACGGATCAAAAGGATACAAAATGTACAGTTCTTAGTGTACACTACATTCATAGATTTTGACTCCGTTGCTCAGTCAAACATCCTGAGTAATGAGCATTTATTGCACCTTTTTGCATTATTTCTGATGTCAAATTCAGAACCACATGAGTATAAAGGCCCCAGTGTACTCCATCAGAACGGTCAACTGGTTGAAGTTCAGGAAACCCCATCCAACTACACCTTGCTGAATTCATATGTGGCAGGGCTGAATCAGGAAATGTATATGACTTTCTGAAACAAGCTATCTGACAGTCACACCAACTCCACACAGCAATTTATGGGCAGAATGCTATAGGTTTGAACTTCTGTCTCATTAAACTATCTACCATTCAGTCCCTCTAAGACAAGTCATCCTGTGTCCAACTTCTTGGTGGCCCCCTGACCGGCCTGGAGGGATGTTGGAGGCCGTCCGTCGAGCAGAGCTTCTGTCATAGCGACGTGTTCAAGGCTTCCCTGTTCCCACTCTTCAACCTCTTTCTTCTCTTTTCAAACTCTGACTTTCCTGGAATTTTCCGTTCCATGTTTTTACGTCACATAGCCCTTTAGTCGACCTTGTGAGTTTACCTCCTCTAGAAATCACTTGACCCAGTCCCCTGCCTGCCCAGCTGCTCCTCATTCAGCCCGTCACAGTGTGAATACAGAGACCCGTTTACAGCCAGTCTTTGCCAGATTGTCAATGTCTCCAAGCTGCTGTAGCGTTCCAGCCACCCCTGTCACCTGCACCTGATTACTCGCCTTCCTGCGTCAGTCTTCAAAAATTGTTTGCCGGATGTCCATGCCTGCTCCAGGGTAATGTCGGTGAAAATCCAAATATCCTGAACAATTTCCAGTAAAGACCAGCAACAACAACCTCAAAAATCACCATAGTTGAAACTACCTCCCTTTTAAACATTTGGCTTTAATAAAAAAGGATTTACTGTACCCATAATGCATTGCATTAGACTTTACAGGCGTATCCAATAAACAAATTACTCTGTGATTCTTTTAAACAAATAGAGGTCATTCAAAGCATGTTTTTGTATAATAAAAACATAACAATCAATTAATTTTAAAAGGATTGTTGGCAATTCAAATATGTAAAAGATGGATGAATAAAAATAGGAAATAAGACAATTATCAGATCATCAGTATTATCATGTCAATGATATAATATCAATAAACAAAATGGATGTATCATATACATAAAGCATAAGGGTAAATTAAACCTTCATAGATGATTACTGCTAGTAGAAACAAATTGTTTTCAAAAGGTCAATTTCTCAGAAAACTTTTTCAACCTCTGCATATACAGTAAGTACTTTGAAAACGGCAAACAGTAAAGAAAGAGCCACAGTTCAGCCTAACGTCGTCCACAGAAAGTGACAGCATAGTGCTTATACCTTCTGCAGCATAATTGTCATGGTGGATTAATCCTCTCACACACTGCCGGCACCTTTTCTCCTTTTGCAGCCAAGTGGGGCCTATTGAGACACTTTCTCTCCAAGGCGGATGTGTTTGTTCATTCCCCAAAGCCCTGTCACCACACACAGGGAGGCAGATACCAACCAGACAAGCAGCGTACAGCAGAGCAGGAATGTGCACACTCCTTGTTAGCCCAAAATATGAATGTGGAGGCTATTTGGGAATTTAGGTGAATTTAAATTGCTTTAGGTAATCAGCAAACAAAAGCACAACACATTTTGCAATGTCAGTTTTTGTATTAGGGCAGCAAAAATGTATTATTAATACATCTAAATGTTGTATCATAACAGAAAAAAGGAAAGATATTATGTAAACTTCAAATGCTGAAACAAAAAAAATAAAAGTAAAGCAATGCATGACTTCGATGGGAAGCTGTGACCGAGACATGCATATCATAGAGATGGACCAAAACAATATTATACATAGAGTAGGTCATATTACACTGATATCAACCTTACAAGCACATATTGCATTGTAACCAGTGCGAAAGTGTGCAACTAATGCCACAGTGATGAGAGTATGCATGACACAGGCCAGAGCCATTCATCACATTCATTTATACATAGGAGAAATGAAAGGATTTACCTGCTTACTTGGTGGGTTTTTAGCGTGAGGCCCAAGGAATTTATTTTGCCAACAGGTATTTTCAGCGAAGCAACAGCTTGATATGGCTTGTGCCCCTCAACATAGAGCTGGGCTGTCATCCAGTCGCAGCATCAGGCACAGTATGTCTTCACTGCAAAAGAAACTAAATGAATTCATTTCCTTCAGATGGGACTACAGATTGTTGGTCTATCTATAATTTTTTCCTAGCTCTTTCTCATAAGAAAAATATGTCAATTGCTAGGCATGATACAAACCTTGTGGCACTTATGTCAAGTTGAAAAGGGAGTTGAAGAACTTATTATCCTTGGATCTAGTGAGGCTTTGAACCCTATTTGTACCTTATTTATAGTCAAACAACGTCTGCCATGGACAAAGATGTCAGCCGTTTGCATGTGGTATCCTTTTACATTGCTTAGATTATTATTGAGTTTTAGGCAGAGTATTTGTCATGCATCACTGACTAATATCTATTTCACCAAATTAAAGAACAGCCCTTTATGTGTTTACATTTTTTGGGAACAACAATATAATTGTCAAACTGTGGTCACAGACAGAACTTGTTGAATATATCAATGTTTTTTTGTCTTTTCTGGGGAATTGCTGATAATAAAGAGATGCAAAAATGCCTGCGGTGTAAAGTAATGTGCTCACTTGAGGGATTTTGCTTATGGCCATTACATTAAGGTCCCTAAAAGTTAAACACTGATAGAGAGAATGCCTCTAGTAACCAAATATTGAATTACTTCCAGACTATGTCTTTGTTAATGTCAGAGACAGAAATCACCTGTTGAAGCAAAAGATGAATTGCCGGCTTTCTATTAAGTTCCAGGCAGCATCTTTCGTCTTTACAGCCGAGTGATCGATCGAGTGGAGATTTACAGGTCAGTTGACAACTGTTTTAATTAGCCTCTCTCTGTGTCTCTCTCCTCCAGATGGACCCTGTGCAGAAAGCTGTCCTCCATCACACCCTCGGCCTCCCTCCCACCGTAAAGAGAAGGCACGTCTCCTGCAGCGTTTGCCAGCTAAGGTTCAACTCACAGGTGAGCCACTGCTCCTGCCACAAATATACACCGAAAACACCCCAAAACCACATTACAACCTACCTGCTCTGGCGTCAGTCTTGATGACCTTCACATAAATAGAATTATGTTAGGGCAGGTCATATTTATTTCATTAGTAACAGTAGAAAACTGAGTAAAAAAGTATACTGTCGTGTCCGAATCAGAAAACCTTTATTCGTCCCACATTGGGGAAAGGTTATGGCGTCACAGCAGCAAGGTACAGACAAAAGGCAGTACACAGGTGAAAGAAAAAATAATAGATGTACATTAAATAAAAATGTAGGCACACATTATTAAGATAAAAAAAAAAAAGAAAAGTAGTACACCTTGGTAAAAAATAAATAATGCAGCACTATTTAAAAAAGTAATTGAACATAATATTATGAAGTAGTGTGTTTCAGCCATGCCAGTAGTGTGGCTATGTGTCTGTTTGCCAGTTCCTATTTTCTTTGCAAACCAAAATATTCCAAAAACTGGAATATGGATTGCCAAGATTTTGTTCCAAAGATGTGTGGCTTGCAGAGGATGTATTAACTGAACTACGGTGTATCCCTTACATTTCCCTCATCACCAACTCAAGATGTTCATTATTTTATGACATTTCTTGGCAAGTTTTGGATGGATTGGCACAACTATTAGCAAAGACTAGAGTGAGATATTACAGTTCACTCAGGGTGGATTGTAATATCTCTTGTGATTCTCTGACTTTTACTGCATAGCTATCATCAGTTCATAGATTGTGTCTGTCCATTCACTTTATTTGTGAATACCTAAAAACACACATCACATTCCCGTCAGCCACAGCTTTCCTTTGTTTTGGTGCTAATTTGTGTGATTTGCAGGGGCGTCTAGCACGGGAGCTCCAGCCGTTTAGTTGGTCGTCTGGTGTATTCAGGAACTCATTCGAAACCATCTTTGTGTCGTTTCTTAAGTCTTTGTACATTTCAGGTCAATTCAATTGTGCCTGAAGCTTAGGTCTGAATGGCTGTCGTCCAAAGCCTCTATTTTGCATAGCAATACACAGCATGTGGAAAACCTTTTACTCTGACTCATCTTTTTAAAAGAGTACTGAAATTCAGCAGTAAACATGTTAACAAGTAGTGAAGGATTTAAGCTCGATACCAAACCATCTATTCCAACATTTCAAAATACGGCTGCCATTAACATCAGATTATCGCATCCTATAGAAGTTGCAATAATCAATATTATCGCAACATTCATGAACATGAAATGCCATCAATAGCATTCAGCTTTCCTTCTTTTTCTTTTTCAACTGAATTAAACTTGAAAGAGCAGTGGGACACAGAAAAGGTGACAATGGGAATTAACATTCATTTCAATAGGTTCTGAATTATTCAAACAGCTTTATCCTATGTGTATTATTCACATGACATCAATATTTCACAACATGCTCATAGTTATACATATTTTATTTATCAAAGTAAGAAGGATGAGGGATATGAATACAAATAAAGAGATTAATGAAGATTTAATGACGGGTCATTGAGAGATAAAATTCGAGAGTGAATCAGACAAAAGGTTGATGGAGAGTCACACAAAGTTAGCTGCTATTTTTCCATTGTATTCGGAGGCTCTCATTTGTCGGATGAACCAAAAGATGTGAAAAAACAAATCATCTCTGTGTTTGTGTTACTGTGTACAAGCCAAAAAGACACATTACTGATAAATATCAAAGCCGCAGTCATTATGAACGTGGAGGTGCAGGCAAGCCTTTTCCATTCCACAATCTCCGAACAACAACTAAAACATGACAATGAGGGATATAAGCAATAGGAAATGTTATTATCTTGAACCTCAGCATGTAAATAAACCATGTGCAAAATGGTCCATAAATGTCCCATCATATTTCCAGAGCAATGACAATTAGGCAAATATGGAGATTGTTCAGGGTGACATTTTAGTTGTCTTAAATAAAATACTGTGGTACAAATGTAAAGTGTAAAAGAAAGGTGAAGAGATGAAGAGATTGTTCCTGTTATTTTACTGCAGTGAAGAGAGGCGCTCAACACATGTTTGACCTCACTTATCTTCCTATAGAGTATTCAGTAAATTAGCTACACAACTGTTTGTTCGTGTCAACAACGATATGGAAACCAAAATCTATATCTGCAATAAGTTATTAACAATAGTTATACTTGCTTGGACCACAAATGGTTGTTAGGCTTCTCAATGAGTTCCGGAAATTCTCAACATGTGATGGATCTAGTGGTTACACCCAACTGTAGTCAGATTGATGTGTGAAAAGACCAATTACACCATTTACAAAACAAAAGAACGGGGAAACACATCAGTGACCAGCCTGAAGCTACCCATTCATATTGAAACAAAGCACCGTCAGCTTTACGATGATAAAACAACAGAAGTAGTTGAGTCAATGGGAACCGTTTTAAGTCCACAGGGGGTGCTTTTTATGTAAAAGTCTCCAGCATGCCCCCCAATGGTGTTCAGGGTATTCACTTACAGCTTTCTCTGGATTCATCCTGATCCACGGCAGCTTCATTATGACTCGATCACAAGTCTTAAAGTTTCCATATATTGCATCATATGAGCAAAACCGACTACAGGAAGGAGATCCTTTTACAAACTCTGTGTCTATCCTGAAGTATTTCCACAGTCATTAGCTCATATGTGCACTCTTCAGTACAATAGTGAAATGCATTGCATTAATACAAGCTTGCTAAATCTAAGCGATGGACTAGCAGATGGGTTTCGATTTCCCTCGCATCTAATTTCCATTCCATTTCCAAAGTAATCAAAAGGATTTGAAAGGAAAATTACTGCTGCTGCTGCATGTTGTTAAATCAGTAGCATCCCTTAATAGCAATGTCATCGCTCTTTCATTAAGGGAGTAATCAATCTATTTCTCACACTGAATTTGTCAGTGATTACTGAGGATACGCTTATTATGTTTTACATGGAGAAATCTATATCCGTATATATTTACTGTCCATCAGTGGTTCATTTGAACACTTCATTAGCGAGATAGACTCTGTGTTTACCTGTCAATCATCAGGTGGGGCTGTGTTGAGCTGGGACCCCTCAGATACCCAGGCGGTGTTGTTTCTTTCTATTTAAACCACAGCTACAGCAGGAGTGAATCTTAATATGCTCCAGTGACAGTTTGTCATAAAATAAAACTGCAGCTTGGATGATGCAGAGGAGGAAGCCTGTGGGGTTCTGCTAAATACAGATCCAAGCTGCTCTGTCGGAGAGCAGAAAGTCTGTTTGTTAGACAATTATGTGAGTTCATAAACAGGAAAGCTTCTCTTTTTCAAACGATCTTAGGTTGTTGCTGCTTTACGAGATGCACGTGTGAGTCAAGGTCATTTGCACTTACGTCTGTGATTTGTTGACAGCGAGTGAGTCACCAGATCTGACCTACTCCCTTAACAGGGAACTTTTCTTTATGTTTACATTCTATGCGTCATGTTTTTAGAACATTTTACAAGTTTACTTAACCGACCTATAGTTTACAAGATACACATCCAAAGGAGATTTGGAGTCTACATTTTATTCAATAATTACAATTAGATGTAGACAATAATCCTATTTTTGTTTTTATCGTAGGATTTTTTTATGAGAGGACAGGAAGTATTTTAGGTACTCAAGAACATTACTCTAAAGATTGGACAAGAGTTAACATTAAACCAGTATCAGAAAGGTTACTACCTTCTGATCAGGCTTTCTTCTACTCAAACCCCTTTCCCAACTTGAAAGAAAACCCACTTACACCTGGCTTTCGTTTCCAGTGTATTCAAGGGTATTTTTCCATTGTTGCAACAACCATCAAATATGGTTTTAGTTTTTAAAAGACACTGTATATTAAAATATATTTAAGAAATGAACACTGTTTACTAACACTGCTTTACTCTGCGTAATACATCAAATAATACTAGAAAAAACAAACTTAATGACATACACGTCTACTTGGAATAGGAAATGACTGACCTATTTTGAATGGGTTTTCGCTTGTTAATAGGGTTCAGTAGGAACAGAAGTGGCTTTAACTTAATGTAGTTTGAGTTTATAGTTTTTCAACACTCAAAAATGAAGTCTGGACATTATAGGGGGGGTTACACAATATATTTTATAGATAATGGCACAATGCATTCATGGTGTTGCAGGAGTGCAAACAACAAGTGACTTGAAGAGTTGTATTAAGAGCTTAAGGGAGAAGTTCAAACCCTGGCTCCAACCGTAGTGAAATTTGGGTGAGAATATTGGCTCAATGTTTGTGTGTGATTTGTTCTTGTCCAAAGCTTTTCAAGCTTCAGACTGGCTGTAGTTGAAACAAGCACTGGGTGGTAAAGTAAGGGGTATAAGAACAGAGCACTTTTCATTTCTTTAGAACAATGGTCGCAAAAAGGCGTCACCAAATCACAAACAGTGATGAGCATAGTTTATATGAAGCCATTTTCTAAAGTTAAAAGAACACGAAGAACATGATAAGTATGTGTTGTTTCATTGTTCGAGAAGATTGCACCAAAACACAGTTCATTTTTGTTTGGGCTCAAGGATACACTGATTTTTCAACTTCATGATAATTGTTCATAGACATGATTCTAAACTCAAGACATTTCTGCTTCAAAACAATACAGAACAAATATTTCAGTTAAACATAGATTTGAATCTGATTGAGTTTTAAGTGCTTTGTAAGAAGTTATCCCTTTGAACTCAGACATACTGTATGTAACCGGATAACTGCATACAATACATTCTTTTGTAGATAAAATATTTGTTTTCATGCTTTGCTCGTATCAAATACATAACATACTGTACATGGAGGTGTGTGGCGCAGTGAGTTGTGCGTTGGTGTTCGGATCAGGGGAGCACAGGTTCAAACCCCACTGCAGTCAGCATGTCGTTGTGTCCCTGGGCAAGACACTTCACCCCAAATTGCTCCTGTGGGGATTGCCCACAGTATTGAGTATTGAGTATGTAAGTCGCTTTGGATAAAAGCGTCTAACAAGTGATGTGTNTACTTATTTGCGCTGCCTCTGTCCCTCTTTCCCTCTCTTTTACGTACACATGTCCACACACAC